TTATCCTGCGGTTATTATAAAGTTTAGTTTTATCAGAGAAGATTCTGTATGTTTTTAGCCAATGAAAAAAGAGAATTTGTATAGTCATATAATAAATGGAATTATTTATTTACTTGTTCACTTCTTTTTCATACACAATTGGATATATCTTTATATCTATTAATTAAAGTACCTATTATGAATACTTGTGACGTCATAGAATTTCTGAATATTCTATTTTTGGTAGCATTCCACATTCAAAAGTGGATGCTAAATGTATTTGAAAGAAACTAGAAAAATTAATGTTATGCATGTAAAAGGAGGTTCCAAATGTGAGATAACCTGTACAAACTAGAAATATATTTCATTCAGTTCGCGGCACATGTTTTCCTGAAATATCAGGAATTTTTTTTTTAAATTGGTACTATAGATTCCATAATTGTCCATCATGACAGACATAAATACACCATATTAGCTCTAAAGTTGGCATTTGTATTTATCTTTTCACTGATTTTGTTTCTAATGTTACATCTTTTGAAATGGAAAACAAATCCTAGGTAGGACAAACTCTGATCCATGCCAATATATTAATATGCTAAAGGAGATGTTGGGTAGACAGCAATCAATCCACAAAAAAATTACATACATTGAATCCAGTATGCTTTAATAAGGTTTACATTGACAAGATCATTGTCCGTCATACTTGAGTTATCTCCCATTACCAAAAATTCTAAAATTAAAAAAAGTTGTGATTTGAAAATAAACAGTTTCAATGCTAGCTCTTACTGTATTAAATAATTATTGAACTTAAAGAAATTTATTTTGATAATTTACAAAAGACATTCAAGTATGAAATGTTAATTGCCATAAACATTTCTTCCAACATGACAGTCTGCCATTCACTTTAGAATTTTGTCTTTTTTTTTACAATCTCTCAAAAATAAAAAAAAAATAAAAAAAAAATAAATGTAACCATTAAACTATAGTACCTATTCTGTATTTTTTCTGTCATTTAGTGACCTACATTTCTTTCATTATTGGCCCTATAATTAGAACCTCTGATCTTGCAACAATAATATGGAACTTAAGGTCACCAATAGTTTCATTATATGCGTGGATGGCAAAGATTTGCATCTGTTTTTGAATGGTTTTTGTACCATATTTCTTTTTAATATATATATAGCTTTTACATAATTGACTTTTAATACAAAATGTATGTTTGAACTACATGTATATTTTTATAGAAATACTTGATGTACTTTCATCAAACTTTTCATTTTTTTTCCAGTGTACTCTCTTTTGAGTACTGTTTTATAAAAACAACTACATGCATTTTATGGGGATGGGATATCAGTTTAAGGCTTGGGTAAAAAGTGTTTTTTTAAAGCTTTAAAAATTCATTAGTCAAAGTATATTCTTTTGTTTTGATTTTAAGAATAAAATTCCTTAATGGAACAAGGTTAGCTTTAAAACAGAGAAAGAACAGTGGAACACCCCTCCCGACATATTGGAAATAAGAATATTTCCTCCCAAGTAAAACAAAACTAACAACCCTTGCATACCTGCCAACTTTTTCAAAATCTCCATGGGGGATTTTAAGCACAAGAGGACCTAATGCATACCTATACATGTCATGAGTTTTCTTATTTGGAACATCTATGGTTTTGAATGAGTATACATGTGTTTAAATGTATTTTTGTCTCACTTGACGGAGTCAAAAAGGGAGACATAGGTATGCTGTTTCTGGCGTCGGCAGCGTCGGCGTCAACAATGTATTAGTTTGTGATTAGGTCTAGTTTATGGTGAACCACTAGTGGTACATGTAAGTCAAAGATATTTGGTATGCAGTTGTATTAGTATTGGCACATCTCATTACCATGGAGATTATTTAGCCCTGCCCCCTCAGTTATGGTTTATTGACTGAAATTTATGCTTAGTTTTCATGTATTAGTTTGTGATTAGGTCAGTTCATGGAAAATCACTAGTGGTAAGTTAATGATAATTGGTATGCAGTTGTATAAGCATTGGCATATCTCATTTCCATGGAGATTATTTGACCCCTCCCCCTCAGTCATGGTCTATTGACTTTGAAATTTTTGCTTAGTTTTCATGTATTAGTTTGTGATTAGGTCAGTTTATGGGGAACCACTAGTGGTAAGTTAATGATAATTGGTATGCAGTTGTATAAGCGTTGGCATGTCTCATTTCCTTAGAGATTATTTGGCCCCGCCCCCTCAGTCATGGTCTATTGACTTTGAAACTTTTGCTTAGTTTTCATGTATTAGTTTGTGATTAAGTCGGTTTACTGGGAACCACGAATGGTAGGTCAATGATATTTGGTATGCAGTTGTATTACCATTGGAACATCTCATTACCCTGGAGATTATTTGACCCCGCCCCCTCAGTTATGGTTAATCAACTTTGAAATTTTGCTTAGTTTACATGTATTAGTTTGTGTTAAGGTTTGTTTAAAGAGAACTACTTATGATAAGTCAGTGGTATTTGGTATGCAGTTGTATTAGCATTGACACATCTCATTTCCAAGGAGATTGTTTAGCCATTTTCCTTCAGTCATGGTTTTTTGACTTTGAATATTTGCAAAACTTACATGTGAAAGTGTTGCTATTTTAAATTCAACATTTGCATTATCGAAAATTAAAAAAAAGCGAGACATATCTCTGTGATAACAGTTTATTTACTCCTCTTAATGCCTTTTTTTAAAGTATTTAAGTCTTAATAATTGAGTTTTATAAGGGTCAGGTCAACACCTCTCATGGGGGGTGCCCTTGAAAAGTCAATGCAAACAACTTCCTTGATACTTGTACATGGCAGAACAGGAAGACTGGGCAAAAGAACATTTGCCATCCCCCAATTTTCAAAAACTGGTAAAAAATCTTTTAGGCTTTATAAAGTACCTCCAAAATATGAACTGAACAGGTATTTGTTTGTTTTATTTTATACTTGTCAAAGTTTTATATATTTTTGGTTGATGTTAAGTTTTGGTGATCAGATCTTAAATTCTTGGAAAAAAAATATTTGTTTCAGAAAGGATGTGAAAAGTAGTTTGTTTCCAAAAGGATATGAAAAAGGTAGTTTGTTTCCAATGAAAATAATGGAAAAAGTAAATACATTTAGTTTTCAAAATATATTTCTTGTTCCTGTATGTTATTTTCTGAATAGGCATGGGTTTTTTCAGGGTTTTTTTTATTGGGACAAATAGTTTTTGGGCTTAATGCTATTTTTTTTCAAAAACATACTAGCTTCCAATCATAAAAACTGTTTGTTCTTAGAAAAAAAAACAATAGGAAAAAAACATGCTCAAACTAACAACACACACAAAAGATGAATGGTCAGTGCCTTAGTTAACCTAAAATTTTGAAGGAACCTTTTAGTCTCAAGACCCAATTAACTAGAAAAAATAAAAAAAGAATAATAAAATCAAGAATTGTTTTAGTAAATTAAATACATTCTTTATCACAGGTTTTGTAATTACATGAGTAACACGATTGGTACCACAAGGGGAGCAGGATCAGCTTATCCTACGGAGCACATGAGATCACCACTGTTTTTTGGTGGGGTTGCTCAGTCTTGAGTTTACTATGTTGTGTTTGTATTTGGTCTTTTTCTTTCTTAGCCATGTCAGTTTATTTTTGACTTGTGAGCCTGAATATCCCTTTGGTATCTTTCCCCTCTCTTTCATTATTTTATTTACCTGTTCTTTAAATTCTTAGTACCAGTACCTAAATTCAGTAAATTATTTCTTTAAAAGATTGAACTGTAACCATTGTTTTGAATAATTTAGCAAATATTTTTACAATAATCATAGTAATTATTTAGTTGATGTATGGGAGATAACTCATGATTATTTATTTTCTATACTATGGGATCTAGCAAAATTTCTGCCAAGTGCTGAGTTTACATAGGCAGATGTAGGGGGAGCTGGACCCCCCCCCCCCCTTCCCCCCCCCCCCCCCCCCTTATGGAGTTTTATATTTTGTTAATGCATAGACTTTTATAAGTCCAACTTCTAATATTGTCTTGTTGGTAGGACCCCCTTTTTCAAAATCTTGGATCTGCATCTGGCTTATTTGAATTTAGCTACATTATCTGGCTTAGTTGTAAATATTTATATTATCTGGTATATTTGCATTTAGCTACATTATCTAGAAATTCCCCAAAACAGAATTTTCTCATATATTCCGTATTAAAGTTACATTAAAAAAAAGATACTGTAAATTTGTCTGATTCTGATATAATTCTGTAACTTAGATCTGGCTCCTTAAGGCACAGTTGACCTTTGTCAAATAATGTCAGTTTTTGGTGTTCCTATTTTTGTTAACTTTTGGTGAAGCAGGTCCCATTAACTGTTTGTTATTGCCATTTCTATTCCATGTTTACCTCATTGTTCTGTCTTTATGGCAATTGGTTTGTCTTCCAAATATAAAAAAGGATCTCAAGACAAATTTGATTTTATCATTATCTGGGGAGAATATAAAGTGTTATGCCTATATATGAGTCTGTCTGTCTGTGATCACTTTTACTCTTGTGGTACATCTGTGAATTGATATATATTTATATTAAGAAAACTGTGTTGCTTTAATAGATCTTTTAGTATTTTTTACACTATCTGTTTGATACAGCAAAAAGCTCCTTTTTATTTTGAAGATTTTTTAATTTGTTTTGGCAGACTTAAAAGTCTTAAATCGTAAAAAACAAAAAATGGTAACCAGGAGCATGTCATCTTCTATACCTCAATTTTATATATAGACTTTCAGAGTTTCCTCAACCTTGAACAATTTATCAACATACTTGTAAGTGAAAGCAGATGACAGAGTATCATCTGGCACAGAAGTTCATTATTCAACATTTATCTCCTAACAAGATTTTTTGGCTTAATAGGACAGGTAGAAAGCATGGTTACCAGAATATGTACCAGTTTTGATATATCTTTAATTATATAAACTAAACATATTAAATGAAAGATTTAGTATGAAACATTTGTAATTTGTTTCTCTTTTCAGAAAAATGGTATGGGAATCTTTTGTAACATGAAACAAACATGGACTTCAACTTTAATATTCCAAAAATCAAAAGACAAGCCACAAAGGGTAAGTCTGTTTTTCTCTGATTATACCTCAGTGCCCCAGAGACGCAACCTCTGCATTGCTAGAGACGTGTGTTTGACTGTGTCATTGTATTGTGTAAAAATAAGGAGATGAGGTATGATTGCCAATGAAACAACTATCGATCAAAGTTCAAATAAAGTGGATGTAAGCAATTATAGGCAACCGTATGGCCTTCAACAATGAGAAAAACCCATACCGTATAGTCGGCTATTAAAGACCCAGACATGAAAAATATGAAACAATTGGATTGAGAAAAACTATCTGTAGTATGTTTTCACAATTGAAATACAATTACATGTACCATAAACACTATTTTTAATTGAAAGTAACTCAAATTACTACTGTTTGTTTGATAAAAAATTAACTGGAGGACAAAACAATCAGCTTCGTATAACAAGTTTGGCAAAATTTTGTTTCACTTACTGCAGTTTTATATAAAGTTTTTAAAAAAAACAAATAGATGAAAAATCCGAAACAGTGCTTCAAATTTAATTGAAAACAAGGAAGTGATTTATTAGAAATGTATAAACTTCATTGAAGGATTTGTTATATTGACATATTTTGAATGTGATGTTTTTGTGCTTCAGATAACTTAAGGAGTGTAACAGTAAAAGGTAGAGATGCACAAGATGTGTTGGACAATTTACAGAGATCATACCTGGACAGGAATTTCAGAGCAAACTGGGAGGTTACATCAGTCTATTTGGTGGAAAATAAAACATTAGAGGATGCTTATAGGTATAAAAGATGTAAAATACTTTTAGGGTTTATGATTGTGCAAATATTTTAAGCATAATTTCATTCTGTTGTGTAGAACTTCCAGTACACAAAACACACTAGAGTATTTTTTCTTCACACTAGTGTGTTTGTTCTGCTGGAAATGAAACCTCATGGAAAATTTGTCAGGGAATTTTTACGCCAAAAGGAAAGAGTATACTGCTGGAAAAGATTCACTATTACACAATGGCAGGTTTATTTTAAAACTTTGCCATTAATGATAATGGTAACTTGATCATTTTATCTAATCAATTAGCTTTTTGTTTATTTATATGAATAGAGGTGTAAAGTGCGTAGAGAAAACCTACCTACAACAATGAATATATATATATATGTTACCAGAAGTTTTCAGTTTTGAGCAGACACACCATATATAGCTGTCTAACTACCATAAAGTTTCAAAACTTTGTTAAACAGTTCAATGAAGACAACTGGTAGATCTAAAATGTTGACTCTCAGTTTCATAGAACAGCAAATAGTTGTGGTCACAAATACTTAAAAACCCTGTTCTTTTTTCAGTATTCATGATACAACAACTTTGTCCTCATTATGATAAAAATTACAATTTAGTTTTATTCCTTACACAGCTGTGGTAAGAAGTGGGGGAGGGGTTGCAGTAAAAAAAATAAAACATTTTGTCACAGCTACTTCATGTTTCTAGGGATTTTTAAAGGCACTGCCTTCTTACAGATACATGCATATGAATGACATATTATCATAATAATATATAATGGACCTATTTTATTGCATAACAATCCCAGGAATTTCAGTATGAGTCATGTCAAAGACCCACATAGAACTTTTCCTGAAACTGCCCAGTTCAAAACCATTTTATATTGTTATAAATCAGAAATTGATATATTTCAGAACCAAGAGAAATGAAATGAAAGAAGATGGAAGACATTCTAGGGAGTTGGCAGAACAATATGCATATGTTAGTATGAAAGATCCAAAGATTGCACAAAAAGTCGCACAAGATGGATTAAAAACAAGAGAGTTAAACTTCAATTCATTGGGTAAGATTTTAATATTCATAAACAAAAAACTAGTAGGAATATTTTTTCCAGAGATAGATGATATGGACTTGTTGCAGGAGGAGTAAAAACCTCAGTTGAAGTGGCATATAGGAGTTATTGACTTTTAATGACAATTTTACCAATTTTTTGCTTAAATTACCTATTATTTTAAAAATTATAATAGATATAGAGAAACTTCAAATAGCAAAAATAAGTCAAAATTGGTTGGTTGGCACTTTATAGGAGTTGTTGTCCTTAAATAACAATTTTTACCAATTTTTCACAGTTTTGTCTACTATCTTGAACACTATATTAGATAGAGACCAACTTCAGATGGCAATAATGATCAGCAGGACCAGATCTACAAATAAGTCTGCATAGCCAAAATTGTCAGTCAACCCCTTAAAGGAGTTATTGCCCTTTAATGATTATTTTGACCTATTTTTGTTGAAAGCTGTAGGTGATAAAGAGAGTACCCATTTTTCATTCTGGGCAAAAATAATAGAAGATAGGGCATGTAGGGAGAAACTGTAAACAGTAAAAATGATCAGCAAGACATGATCAACAAAAAAGAGATTTTAGTCATGAAGTATTCTAGTTTACATTGTTGGAGATTGTCCATTGTTGAAGATGCACATAGATCCAGGTGAGCCACTGGTTTAGGCTTGTAGTAAGATGTTGACAAGAAACTCTTTCATTATATAATTCAATCTTATAAATTAAACAGATGAGACATTTCAGTATGTTAATTCTTGTTAATGAGATTGGTGATAATGTATTTCTTTGTCACTGTGTTTAACTGAACTATAAGGTGCATAAAAGTATGAGCCCCTGAGTTATTACATAGTATCAGTATATTGTGATATAAGAAGAAAGATGATTTATTTCCATGATCAGTTTTACACTGCAGTTTGACGATATCCTTCAGTTACAAATATATTTTCTAGAGATGTTACACTAGTTGTTGCATTTAACCTTCCTACTGAAAGTGAGTGTGCACTTAGATTTCTGTCTGAACTTATTGTCATGTTCTTAAAGTTGTTACGCTTCAAGTCGCTCAATGATTTTGACATTGGCATTGATTTTGTTCTTGCATGTCGTGGTATGTGTGTATCTGGAGTTGAAGTTGAAAAATCTTCTACTGTCCAGATTATATTTGGATTACTTTTGGCAGTTCTAGTGTCCTCTTCACTTTTCACAGATTCTACATCAGAACTTTCATCTCCACTTTCAGTTTTTGTACCAACTTCAATTTCATGTTCATGTTTTGTATCCTGTTTAGAAGAACAACATTTCTTACAGTTGTACTTGTAGCACATATTAAATATACAGTCACTGCATGGTAAACAAAACACACAACTACACACATATCTGCCTAACTGTTGGCAGTTTTCTGGACAACGTCCTAATCTATGGCATAGTCTGTGGAAGAATCCATTGTCTGAATCATGTACCTCATTATCATCAGACCTAAAAATACACAAATAATCTATAAATAAAAGCACGAAGGTAACAAAATAAAATTTGAAGAGAAGAAAATCAAACATTTGTGAAAAAATGTACTTTTCCTCAGGAAAATACCATTTTAAGCTTAAAAATTTGAATAAAAGGTGTTCATATTAACTAATAATTACATAGATATTTGGTTTAAGTTTAATATAATTTTTTTCTGTTCCTTATCAGATATTTTAATCATTGAGGTAGTGTAGATACATGTAGTTTGTTGACACCAACCTTTCAGATACTGCCTCATTGGTCTTCTGGTAACATGTTTGCCTTGAATTTTGGAAGGTTATGTATCACACGACCAGGGGGTTAAAAATTGATATTCTCTGCTAAGCATGTTGCCTATTGGAGTAACAGTACAAAATGGTTGTCCTGGATTCAGAATAGTTTTTCATGATAGGGCACCTTTCTTTGGACTAAACATTGTGAGCTTTTATGTGCAATATTTGCCAGTGCACATTAAGCACGCATCTATCAATCAATTAATTAGCCTTACAAGTCACTAAGTAAAACACCATTACAGTTGAGGTTTAAAAAGTTTCTTTTTTTTTTGTTCTAAAAAAATGGCAACAATACCTTGTATTTTCTGTAATGGTGGACACGTATACAATACCATGTAAACAACTAGTAAGTCATGTTCATCCGAAACAAACAAATACTTTATTGATAAAGATTACAAAGAATATTTTGTTTTACCAGTTTTATTTGCAAGAATAATTATACTTAAAAATGTAAAATAAATTCATTTACACGCTATGAACTCTCTAAAAGAAAATAATTGAAAACAAAACAAAAACAGACAAAAGAATAGCAAACAAACAAAATATGGTGGAATATGTCTCTTTTTATCAAAAAGAAGTCTTTCTGTACATTGGACATGAAAAGAAATGGTAAAACTTACATTTTTTTAGCCAAATTAAATCATAAATAACTCCGTAGAGACCACCTAGATGTACATGTATAATTGAGTGTAAATCTGATTCACAGGATTTTAACACTTGTATGCTGTGTTGTTTACTCAAATTTGAAGTACATAAAAGGAAGTGTTCATATATAGATTATAATTTTGCTTTGTTAAATGAAGTCAGAAATAATTTTTTGATCAGTCTGAAGTAACATTTAGTTCAGGAAGTCGTATCCCACATAATTATTTTAATTAGGAAACCTGTAATATATTAGTTGACACTTATTTTTGGGTTGCATCCAAATTTTTTTTATAGATTTTAAAAAATGTATTATTCCTAGACATTAATTTTCATTTGGTCTTAACAAGAGCCAAACTAAGAATATGAACACAAATCAACATTTACCTATTGCAACTGGAATTGAACTGAGGTTTTACAATGGTAGAAATACTGACTCCACATATCAATATCAAATGTATACCTTGTACATTTATTTACTTTGAGTTCAGTTCTAGTATATGGAAGTTTTAGACTTTCAAATTTTTTTGTCAATGCATTTTCATTCAAAAGGTTTTGAATAATTTAAGGATATCTGAAGTCTTTAAATTATATTTCTTTAAACCAAGTTCACACATCTATTTTTGTTACTTAGTTGATTAATGCCGTTAATCTCTAGCTTATATAATGTCAACACTTATGTAGGTTTAATGTATGATTAAACACATTTTTCTAGAGGTTATTGATGTGTAAACTGGGGCGATAAACTCACAAACTGAATAAAAGTTTTCATTTGTATAACTTCATGTTTGCCATGACATAAATGCATCAAGATCATTTATAAAATTTTAGCTGAATTTTATTTTATTTTATTTTTATACATATTCCAAGCTCTAATGCATTTTTTTTTTTTTGGTAAATAACAAATTGTATTTGTTTTTCAATCTTAATTTTCCCATGTATGGTATAGGTTATGAAAGTAGTTGTGGCAACATGATCTATGAAAATGAGAACCAAGAGAAAAATGTTTGTGAATTCAATCTTATTCAAGTACTATTAGATATGCAAATCATATAAGAATTATTGTGTAATAACAATATATTTTACAGGTAACAGTAAATTTGGTGTGTATCTCTGTAAACATGCTGATGTTCAGCTTGGTCTGTTTGACACTTCTGGTCAAGAAACGTGTCAGCTGATGATTTTTAAGGTATGATTATTTTATATACATTTAAGATATGAATATGTAGCAATACAGGAATGTTAGAGTTATCTCCCATTTTATATGTTATACTATTTGTGAATTCTATAAATTATTTGAATTAAATTTTTTCTAAATTAAGAAAAGTTTGAATATTTTTAAATAGAATGACTTCATGAAAACAGATTTAAGAGGTTAATGAGCAGTTACTACAACTGTTGATCATCTTTTGTATATCCAGTTGGGGTAATAATGACATCAGGAGAGTGGAAAGCAAAATGTTGTACATGTGATTTACCTCAAATTTTTTTTCAAGATGAAATTGTGGCCTTTTGTAGTAAAAGTGTATCAATACGTATACGTAATAGTAAATTGATTGATTTTCCAATATTTATAATTTCTTTTAATTTTGATATGCTACTGAAAAGAACTAATAATAACAAAACATATAACTAAAACAATACAATATTATCTCCAATGACGTAACATATATGTATAACTAAAACAATACAATATTATCTCCAATGACGTAGCATATAACTAAAACAATACAATATTATCTCCAATGACGTAACATATAACTAAAACAATACAATATTATCTCCAATGACGTAACATATAACTAAAACAATACAATATTATCTCCAATGATTTTACAGTGAAAGCCTTACGTGTTAACACATTTTTTCTAATTGGTCCATTCAATTTTAATTTATGAACAGTAACAATATTTGTAAAGTATTGAATTTAAACTTGTCATTTATTAAAGTAGTTATGGTAAATTTAAAATGAATTCAACACATCTTCTGTATTGTTAGTACTATATAAAAAAATATTTTGTATTATTTATACTATATAAAATCAATATTTCCATTCTGATATATTAGGTGACCCTGGGGAAAAGTAAAGTGATGAACTTACAACCCACCATGAGTGTAGAACCAACTCCAAACTATGACTCACATATCAACCAACTAAAACCATCTCCTATGGATTTACTTAACATACAGAATCACAGGTCACAGGTAGGTTACTTTTGATTTTAGATTATATAACATAAGTTACCATTATAAATTATAAATGACATTTGTTAGTCAATTTTGATTTCTAGTAAAGGAAATTCTCAGCTACCCTTATAAATGACTAAGTTCAGTTACCCATGTCAATGACAGCTTTTATTTATCCTTATCAATGTTGCATTCAGACAGGGTTACCCAATTAGACATTTATTTGCTTTCATTTTTTCCCTGTTTGAATTTATTTTTTTATTTGGATTTTGGCTGCTTTCATGGTCATGAGTCAGATCATTTTAAAATGTCAGACTGATGGGCAGGTATGAAAAGAGTCCTATCTTTGAATTATTTACTTCTAGTGACATGATTATTTTAAGAGCAACTTAGTATATATTTGCAACTTTATATCATATTCAAGTGGTTTTATCTTGACAAGTACGTCTTTCAGGCATGTTCTGTCACGACGGCAAAAGATTCTTTGCAGATACTTTGAATTATGAGTAGGGGTAAGCTCAGCACCACAATGTGTGCAACTTCTTGTTCTATTTGAATTTCAAGGAAAATATCTCTGATGAAGATAATTTGACATAGATACTAACCAGGTCATATTGCTTTTAAAATGGAACAAAAATGATATAAGAACTTGGCAGAAAACCTGTCAAGAATGAAAAACTATTGATAAACTAAAATGAAAAAAAATATGGTGAGTGCAGAAAGCCATCAAATTTGTTTTATATGTTTAACATATATATTTACATGATCTTTTTAGATATACCTGTATGAATATGATGATGACTGCGAACCAGTACAAAGACCACGGCAATGTCTTCCATATGCTCTCATCACATATAAAAAGATTAAAGATATCCCTCAGACTGCACTGAGTGGAGCTAGTGCCAGCAAGTACAACAGACCCTTCAAACCTACAGAAGTCAAGGTCACTGAAACAAGTGAACTGACCACAATCCCTGTACTCCTTAACCGGAATATGAGTGAAACAGCTGTTTTAAAAATTCCGACTGGTCCATCATTCACAAAAGATCCAAATCGTCAATTAAGTAAACAAGAAAGGAGGGAATTGTTTGAAAGGCAACATGCTGAGTCACTTAGACGACAAGCTCAGGAAAAAAGGCCAGCTACTGAATCTTATGAAACAAACAAAATCTATTATGCAAATACTGATTATTCAAAAACTCAAACACGTCAAGATCCAAGAATGAAAAATATACCATTTGTCCCACCACAGCCTGCAAACATTGTCAAACAACAACCATCAACAAATTCCATGGATCCTAGGAGATTAACAAATGAGAGACCTAATCGAGGGATGGGATACCAGAAACAACTATCTGTTAATATTCCACGACAACGCCACATGTCTGGTGGCAGTCCCTCTCCTGATGGTGATAGTATAATAAGTGATGCTTTAACAGATCTTATTGTTAAAAATCAAATAAAAGTTGATGCATTTGGAAGACCTGTTTTGGCTATTCCTAGTCCTGCTAAATCTGAAGAGGAAAAAATGCAAGCAATTAATCAAAAGTTTGCGGAAGAAATTCAGAAACATTTGCAAATGACTGGTCCTATTGATGTACCTAGAACTGCAATGGAGGAGGACTACACTCCTCAGCCAATGGAAATTGAGAGTTCTGAATCCCTGGACAGTAAACAGGATAAAAATGATATGTTAGAATTTGACAGTAAAATTTCAGAACTTTTAAATGAAGCTAGCTTGAAACCTATTGAAAATGTGGAAATGAAGACCCAACAGGTAACTGAAGTCAACAAAGAAAGTGGAAACGAAATGCCTTTCAATGATTCTGATGATGAATTGCCAAAATTGAAAAGGCCAAAAGCTAAGACTATAGATAATTCAGCTGTAGAGGAAGATGACGATGATGAAAAGTTAATTATTGCTGAAATGGATGTTGAAAGTAAAAAACTGGAAGTGCTTGAAAAAAGGAGAAAAAGCCATGAAGGATCTCTCGAAAAAGATCTACTTACTTTTGTCAGTCGAGAAGACATTAAGAAAAAAGATAGTGATAAAGGCTCAGATAATTCAAAATCACAAGAAGAGCAAAGTATATTAAACAGGAAAGAAGAAAAAGATAAAAATATAAATATAGTTGTTGTGAAAGAAGAAACTATGAGTAAAGAAGAGCAAATGAAAATGCAAAGGGCAAAAGTACTTAAAGAAGTTCAGAGTATGTTGGAAAAGACCAAAGAAAAAGCTGTTGATAAAATTGATGATACTATAAAAAATGACAATGAAATATTGCAAATAGATTCAAATAAAGAGGGAGAAAAAGGGGCCGAAGCGAAGAAACAGATGGAGGACAAAAAAGACATTTCTTCAAATAAAGAAGCAGGAAATTTATCAAGTGAATATATAGACTATGACTTAAGTACCTTCAGTTCTGATTCCGATAATGAAAGTGTTAGATCTGATGATAGTAGATCAAATCATTCAATACCTCAAACATATTCAAGACCATCACCAATTTACAATGAGAGCCCAATGAAAGTGGATCAAAGAGGTCCATACAATGTTCAGACAAGTCCACATAAAATGCAGTCCAAATCGGACTCCTGGGTTTGTAGAGATTTATATAATGCTTATGGTGATCGTGTCCAACAACCAGGATTAGACAATAGACCTGAAGATAGAAATCAGGATTGGTCACAACAACCAATGCACAGAGAACAGATAAATCAGCAACCCATACCTGGACATCAGAGTCAACCACAAATAACCAGACCCCCAACTCAGCAACCACATCCCAGCCATCATCATTATCAAACACCTGTTTCTAGTCACCATCAGCCACCCATACCAGGCCAGCATCAAACACCAATTTATAGTCAACAAAATCAGTCATCTATACCAGGTCAACAAAATCAACCACATTTTACTGGTCATCAAAATCTGCCACCTTTTCCAGGGCAGCAAATGATTAGGCCACCAATGCCTGGCCATGAAAACCAGCAATTTTTTCCAGGTCAACAGATGATAAGGCCTCCAATGCCCAACCAATCTCCTGTACCTAACCAACATATGATAAGGCCTCCAATGCCCAACCAATCTCCCGTACCTAACCAACAGATGATGAGGCCTCCAATGCCCAACCTGCCCCCTGTACCTAACGAACAGATGATAAGGCCTCTAATGGATCCACCGCACTTTGATGGACATTCCTATCTACCTAGGAGACATGATGATCCTAGAAATTATCCATCACAGTTTCCTGTCAAATCAAGATCAGACTCTGACATGGTATATCCACCACATCATCCACAGAGTCCTCAAGGTCACCTCCCAAGTCCTTTTATGCAGGATACAGACTACAGACAACAACCAAATATGAATTTTTTAAATGTTCAAGACATGGATCATAGGCAAAATTCACTCATTGATGTGAACCCTGAAACTGGTGATGTTGATTATCGTAGATTGAATCCAGTAAAACCAGCTCAGAGTCAACCACTAAATACTCCGGACATGAGGAACCAGTTTCCACCTAATCCTAATATGCCATTTAATTCACCACCATTACATGTAAATATGCCTCCTCAACCTTCAAATCAGAATTATAGTCCAGAAGGAGCTAATCTACAGTTTAATCCTAATAATCAGAATATGTTGAGTCCTCCTCGTTCATCTAGTTGGGGTAAAACAGAAACTATTGGTTTAACCTCTCCTTCCAAAGAGAAAAAAATTTCATTAACAGCCTATAAAGCAAGGAGGAAAAACAGTCCAATCAGAGATGGTAGTTTTGAAGGTCAATTCCCAACTTTTGATCTGGATGTAAATAACCTGAAAAACATCTTACAAACAGTAAATGTTGTTTCTGCTCTAAAAAAAGACTTCGCTGAATCTGAGAGTGGGGATTCTATTGATGGAAGAGCACAAAGATATATTGATGATGTCACAAAAGTTAGTCCATCAAACGTTAAACATACAGGAAAACTTGCTTTTTTAAATGATGTTCAAGATGATGATGGACTATTTAATTGTTATGGAGGCGAGAAGATACCAGGGATAGATATATCACCTCAAAATATCACTACAGGACAAATAAGCATTTCATCTATACTTGGTACGAATGTAGATATGAAGAAATTTGATGTGGATATGAGACAGGACCAAAGACCTGAAATCCTAGATGCTCAAGGAACTCCTTTAAAGGTATAATTAATGTAGTTTATAATTAATCAATGTTGTACAAATTATATTTGTTTTTGTATACCCGGTATGTTGTTGTATGAAAGAGAATATTTAACCATGTTGCATTGAGGGCAGATCAGAATTTGAGTTTAATAGATGATAGGCTCTAGAAAATAAGTAATTAGTATGAGATTATATTGTGATCTATAAAAAAAAAACGCCACAGTGGCTTAAGTAGAACATGAGGGTAAAATGCAGGAAATGTCTAATATCTTGAAAACCATAATAAAAACATAAAATCTGACAGAGTAATAATGTTTGATATTTGTAGATCTTTCTCAACTCAATCTCTACCAAAATTTTCAAATAACCCTTTATCTGAGTTATGGCTCTGAAATGACAATTTCAACCAATTTTAAAAACTATAACAGATACACAAAATATGTTAAAGGCAAAAATGATCGGCAATACTAGATTTATGAAGCTAATTAAAACATGTTTGACATGACAATAAATAGAAAAGGTGGGTTTAAAAAAAACAACAACAAAAATTTGCAGATATGTATATGCAGTCCAGGACCAAACTGTAGGGTAATAATGCCTTTCCTCTTCTTGATTCTGAAAAATACTACTGCAATCCAGCCTTCAATGCAATTATAATAGGATAGTTGATTAGGATTATTATAACCCCTATTTCTGAAGCAGGAAGGGAATCCCATGGTCCTATCACATTTTGAGGTCATAACTGCTCATGAACCTTTGTGCACCCACATTTTTTTTCTATCCACATTATTTTGGGGATTTCCCTTAGAGGCACAACATAAATTTTGCATTTCCTGTATGTGGCAGCTGGGGGTATCATTTTGTGAGCTAAAACAGCTCACAGTATCTCTAGTTTGAACAAGTTCTGTCAGAAATATTGTACTTAATATCTGTTCCTACATTAGTGATGTTCACTCAAGTTATAAATTTTCACATACAAATTGAATTAGTTAAAACTACTGAAATTCCTGTGAAATCTAAAGGCCATTTTATGCCAAAAATGGACTAAATCATTGTAAGGTTGTTTGAGACTATAGATTTACATTAGTGCTACTCACACTTAATCAGTATTATGTATATATATTCAAGGTCAGCAAACCTCAAGCTGTAATGTGTTAATTAACATTCACCAAGAACTTTATTAATATTAAAAAAGCAATTAATTCACTTAAATTTTTGACAAACCACAAAAACACAGCCTTGCATTCATTTTGTAATCAAATAAATCACATGTTAAATGGAAAAATTAAAAGAAATATTACTATAAATGTCATTATGTTGCAGTGTTTTTTTTTGTATTGTTGATATTATTGCATTTCAGAAATATTACGGCAAATATCCATGGGAAGAATTGCATGTATGTACATGGGTACCACTACACATCTCACTACTAATACATATCTGGGCTGAGGACACTTGATCTTTATATATATACCTAATGTTTCTCTTACTCATTTTATAGTATAATCTAGAGCTATGAGTTTAACACCCTTTGCTAAAGTAGATGAGGAAACTTTTTTAACTCCACAATATCTCTCATTAATTTAAAAGTATTGGACCAGTTATTTTTTTCTTTGATTTGAAACTGTGGTTAAAAATTTTATACATAAAATATATATATGTGGATTTACGTTGCCTCATCTGTTATTAGTAAATATTGTGATATTTCCTTTCATTGACTCTTCTAAAATTTGAATAGACACTTAGCAAGATAGATGTTTGTGATATTCTATATAAGAATACCCTTATACTTCCAATTTCCAAAGTAGAGTATTTATTGAAATTGCTAAGTAATTGAATTTCCTGTCATCTGGTCACATTTCTTGAATTTAATGCAGAATTTAAAAGGATTTCATGACTTGTTAGTTTGTTGGGTGGTAAATTTAGAGGAGGCCAGGGATGGGCACGATTACTGACAAATGTAATCGATTAATAATCGATTACATGAAGGATTTTTGTGCAATCGATTAATAATCGATTACTCTAAATTTGGTATGTAATCGATTGCAATCGATTACTTTATCAAAAGTAATTACATTACTTTTCGATTATTATCAATTACATGTTATAAAATATTGAAGAAAGTTTAAACACAACTTATTTAGAGTGATAATTTAGAACTTTACAAAAACAGCTTTTAAAGCATTGTTTCCAAATGTTATGTTGACAGTTGTTTTCTAGATGAAAGCTCTTACAGAGGATCCAAACTATTTAAATATTCTTGAGTGAGTGATGATAAACATGAGAACATTCTTGAAATGAAATCGACAATTGTATCAATTGCTTCCTTATATTGTAGGTCATTTTCTCCATAGTTTGCAAATTTTGGCTGTCATACTGACTTAATTTTGATATTTACTCTTATTTAACAGGATGGTTTATTTGAATATAATGAGTATGAGAGGTTTCCTATGAAAAAAAATATATAAAAAAGAAGAAGAGTTAATTTAACTAATTTTGAAAGATGGAAATTTATAATTTATAGTTACATGAATGAATTTATCCTTTTGTTTGGATAATCCCCCTAATTACAGGTTATACAATTGCCAATGGAGAACAATTTATAACCTAAGGGCAACAACTTGTATTAAATCTCTCATTTAATTAAACATAATTGAAATCAAAACATAGTCTGTATCTCATTGATTAGAGGTCTTTGCTCATCTGATTAGTAATTATAAAAACAAGAAGGATTTTGAGAATTCTTTGTTCTCTTTTCAAAATCATAAACAATTTACATTTTAGTGACACAATGGGATACATGTATCTATTACTGAACAAAAATTTCAATGCATTGGTTCATTGTAAAAATGTTTTGTATTCTTTCCTAATTTTGATGTCATAACACTATGACGAATCAACAGTTTATCTACTCTAAGCTAAAGTTCTAAATATAATTGAAAATTAAGCTTTAAAAAATGTTATTACATATATAAAAGCATTCTTCTTTAGTATAGTACAGAACTTAACTTAGGACTACAAGTACATTTATGTATTTTCCTATATTGAATCTATTTTCTTAATTTTAACATTTTTGTGTTTAATAAAAAATGTCTCAAATTATTGACAAGCATTGGAAGTCATTTATTTCAAAAGCTGGAAATAAAGTAAAAATTGTTAGCCTAGGAGATTTGGTTTATCATAATGCAGCGTGAGACAACAGATCTAAATAAGGTATTTGATAAACTCTCAAGTAATATTGATGCATTCTATTTTATCAGTACTTTAAACTGATGAATAAATGCAGTTGTCTATTTTCATTTAAACTAGGTTTTATTTCAAACTATATTACTAAAGTAATCGAAATGTAATCAAAAAGTAATCAATGATTACATCATAATTTTTGCTGTAATCGATTAAATTACGATTACATGTAATCGAAAATGTTGTCGATTACAGATTACTGTCGATTACTTGAAAAAATGTAATCAATTACAATCGATTACGATTACAGATTACGATTACCCCATCCCTGGAGGAGGCATTTTCAAGTCTGTTAAAGTTTCACTATTTTAAGTTCAGATTGAAACCTAAAGATTTGAGCATTAATTAAACTTTTGATTAAAAAATTAAAGGAAAGTGGAAATATTAATTTTGGATTGAAAAGTTATAGAGGGAAAGGGTATTGTTGAATTTTATTATAAAGAATGATGATGGTACACTTATTATATCTTGGGCCATAAAAAAGGATGACATGCTTGCGTTATTTGGAAGTGTAAAATAAGTAAGAGAGGTTAGGTTATGAGGTAAAATTCCGTAATGTTTTCTAATTTTGATTTTTGTTTTTGAGCCAGCCAATCTGACACCATGTCACCACTCCAGATTTTAATATGGGACAGGATACTGAATAAAAGCATATAATAACATCATAGATGAGTAAACGAAGAAATTATAAGACACAATTTTTATCATTTACCACTAACTATTCACCTCTAATTTGCCCTTTTTTAAAAAAAATTTTGAAGTTAAGCTGACTGACTCAATTTCAATTTAATTCAATTGCTTAAAGTTCCATCTGTTATAACATTTTGGTTAGAAATATGATAGTTATACTTGTGGAAGTAGTTGAATATAATTCAGTAATAAATATAAAAATGAAACAGTTGACATTTACATGTTGATTATGCATTTGTTAAATAACAAAATTCTGCTAGAATAAGATTTTCAAAAGTAAGAAAGTTCCAACTTGATCCCTTTCAATACTTAGTATTAAAAAGGGCTTCCAACAACTGCTTTAAATTAAACAATTGGAAAGAAATTCTTGAATTTAATATTTTCTGTGTATAGTGCTGATTTTTATGATTTAGTAAGATTGACTGGCTCACAGCATCAGCAGCGCTTTGATTAATACCATGTTATTTACAGATAATATGACTGAAGGGTCATAGTGTTTACTTAGGTTTTGTTGATTACTTGTTTGTTTTTATAAATATGATACTAATTAGACTTGAAAGTTGGGTTTTTATTAGTGGTGGAAGTTTTTTAAATACATCGTCTTATTGTATTATCATGATTATTCTCTTCTGTCTTCAAATAGGTCTTTTACCAATGATTAACACAATGTTCATCCTCATTAGATCATCATTTGTCTGTCTCTCCTTTTTAGTTCAATATTTTATTTAAAGTTTGTTTCCCAAAAAGGTAGACTGAAATATTAATAATATTATGGCATTTCTAGCCTCTTTGTTAAGTCTTGTATAGTACAACCTGATTCAGTACATTTAAGTCACTTATAACTCATGCTAGAATGACTTTTGTTATGTTTCTTTTGTTTTCATTTCTTCCCCTTTTATATTTGAATGATGTTTCAGTGCTGTATATCTATTAGATAGTACAAGCCTGGTGAATTCTATACCAATTTATATGCTATTGCTAACTTACACTTCAGCAAATTTGGATTAAAAAAAAAGTCAATTTCTCCAAAAAAATATGATTATGTGATAGTTCAACATTTTAATCCCCTTCAACAGTAAAAACATTGTAATAGCATCCTTCACATCTATTATTACAGGACCCTTTCATTGAACATCACAGTACCCAAATTGCACTCATTTAGCAAAAATAGCAGCGGAATCTTACAAGTTTTCTTAGAGACTAAACAATTTGTATTCTTATGATTTGACATTATGCACGTCTTTCAACCTAGCTAAATATATTTAAATATACGCAAAACGTTCACAGTATCTACCAACAGATGAAGTATTCAATGGGAAATGTAAAATCTACAGAAACATCACAATGCCATGTCCACATAAAGTCAAGTTTTAAAAATGAACAATTAAAATATTTTACAGGCAATCCATTTCTTCAAAAATAAACACTGAATGGAAACGCTTGTCTGGATCTTAAAAAAAACATAGGTGCAATTTGGGTACCCTCACGTTACACTGTTTTTCAATGGATCAATCCTCATATGATTGTACCTCAAGCTGCAAAATACTGGGGTATATATATAGGTTTTTACTTGTAAATCTGTCCATCTTGATTGCAGAAACTATAAATCAACTATTGCAGAAACTATAAAATCAACTTTATTTCGGATTACAACCACCCATATAACGAAAGGATGATTGCTATTAATTTTGAGGTCACAGATCAAGATCATATTCAAAAAATAGACTGTAATAAGTACAGATAGGGGGTTTCATGGTTATAATTCCAGATCATTACATGGTATTGCAACTAACTTGGAAATAAGGTCACTGTCCAAGGTCAAGGTTATAGTTATTTAGAATAGACTGAAATAAGTGCAGAAAAGACTATTCTGTATTATAACTCCAGAACCTTTCCGTAGGTACATGTTTGTCTTTGGGCTATTCTTAAGGTTTAGATTTAGGATTGATTGATTAATTTTTCATATATTCTATGTTTCGCTTGACCATCCCTGTCTTAAGGACACAATATTTAATTTCTCTTCAAAGCTCAATTCATACATGTCATACATTAAAAATTAAAAAAACTGGATTTCTTTTTCAAATGATCTATCAGTACTAATGTCATTTAAAATCATCATATAGAAAATATGATATCTCTATAAACTTAATCAAAAATTATGCATCCTAAAGAATAAAGTCAAGATTTTAATTAAGATCTATACACTGAATTTTATAAATATAAAACTTGAATGAACAAATATAACTTTCATTAGTTGAATGATTTATCTAGTGCTTATCCCAAAAATATCATGAAATTGAAGTATTTATATATAAATAAAGTTATTACACACGTATTAAAAACTATAATGACTGACATCCTCCTATATATATACTAGCTAGATACTTTCTCCTTTGTTATGCTTATTCTTATATTTATGTTATGCAGTATAGTTAAGCAGGTCACAAAAATAAAATAATTCACATCTTTTAAACTAGAAATAATATAGCTAAATAAAACATAAACATTTCTTTCATATAGAAAAAAATTATTATGTGTAAAAGTTTTATAAGTGTTAGTATTTACTTTCAATATCTTTTATGTTACATAAGATAATTAGGTACCAGTAGATTCAAACAAGTTAGATAATTAGGTACCAGTAGATTCAAACAAGTTCATTTAGTTTAAGCTTTATAGTATTTATTTATTCATTTTAGTCAATGTAGCATAGATCTCATTTGTTTTGGTTTTAGTTTTAATTTTCATTATGCATGAATTCTAAATAAAGCACTGCAATTCTTACATATCCACCCCATTTAAAATACACCAAACACTTTGCACAAGATACTCATGTATGATGTACACTAAAGCTCATGTCTCTTCAGCAGGTAACTACACAGGCTCATGATGGAGAGAATGATCCTTCACCAGTTAGCACGGCTTCTGGTAAAATGACACCTCCATCAAGCTGTTCATCACCGAGGGGACGAAAGAAGAGAAAAATTAAGTCAGGAATGATGGGATATGTGAAGAGAAAAAGAAGGAAAAAAAAGAAAAATTTATTTGACAATGTATCTGATATAACAGGTGAAACTGGTAGCGTTGCCTCATCTGACTGGCGAAGTAGTATAGAAGATTTAGGACGAGTTAGAGTCATGTCCCTAGAGGAAGTTGGTCTTAACCATTGGACTGATGCCATTAACCACTCATCATTTCAACCCAGAGTAGTACTAAAAAGGGTAACATCTTACTTATGTTTAGAGTTATACAGTTATATATATCTTAAAAATTAATGATTACTAGAAAAATTGAAAACACTATAAGAGAACTCTTTTAAGGAAAAGAATTGCATTGCCAAAGTTGAAGTGTCAACATTTTCTGTAGCTTTTGAAAAAATGACACCATGAAATAAGCTGTTCCAAAATAATTTAATTAATTTCTACTCTTTAGTCATATGTACAATTTAAAAAATTTAATGTATCTGTTATGGAGTAGAAGTTCCTTTATAATATTAATTCCAAAAGAAAGAAATATTCTGGAATATTATTTCCACTGGAATAGATATTATGGAATAAAGGATATAGAATATGTGTTCCAAAAGGAACGGATATTATAGCATTATTTTTAATAAAGTTCCAGATGATAAAAAAAATTCCAGAGGAACTTCTGTTAGGAGAAACAATCATATGTTGACAAAAGAAGTCCCATTTTCAATGTTTTTTAGTACTTTCAAAACATAATCATAAACATCGCAGATGATATAAGCATTACATTAAAACCTGATTTAGAAAAGAATTATATTGCCTTTGTCTGAATCACTGACTTATGGTCACTTACAAATCTATAGCTCTCTATAAAGATGATTAACGGAATAAAAATAAGACTTAAGGCAAATGAATATGTGTGCATGAAATTTTTTTAACATCTGTTTCAGGAAAAAGAAGCAGAAATTGGTGCAGCAAAGATTGCAGAGAGCAATGAACTGAAATCCGAAAAAGAAGCTTTAGATTCTCAGCCAGAACAAAAGAATACTATGGTTAGACAATGGGTAGAAACCTCACACAAGAAAATTAAACTTATTACATTGAAACGAACTAAAGAGGAAGATACAGCAAAGAGTGAAAAGTCTTCTATTCTGGAGGATGTTATAGATATTGATGGTTTAGTGGAGAAACAGATAGCTCAAGACATGGCCAAAAGTGATGATGCCATGTCAATCTCATCATCCAGTGATATTATTTATCAGAAACCTGGACCAAAGTGTAGCAAAAGGCCACCATTGGCTGGGACACATCAGTCAATACCAGTTCTCAATAAAAGAAAAGTCTTACCCACCCAACCAGTTAGTGATTCATTGTCGTGTACAATACCAAGAAGTCAGGATCAAGTGTATTTGCAGTCATCTCAAGGCCAAGGCCATAGACAAGTGCCACCATATCCAATAGTTACTGATATATCTGTGCCGCCACCAGTTGTTTATAGTACATCGTATCCGCCACTATCTTCTTATCCAGTGCAATCATACTCTATTCAAAGTTTCAGACCTCGAGGTCAAGGACAAATGAATTCCCCTTTGCCTGTGGTTCCGCCATTTCAGTATCCAAAGTCATCCATGAGTAATCTTGTACCCCCGCATCCACTTTCAGCCTTTGGCCAAACAGATTTTAGTCAGCCACCACCTCAATTGCCATCTGCACCATATCCACCAAAACCTGTGGTAGGGACACATGTAAGTAGTACTACACCACAATCCACGCTTCATTCATCAGCACCTCCAAGTCATCCATCATTGACAACAAATCAACAAATGCAGCATCCTGTTAGTCATCATCAACCAACTCATCAATCAACAACTCTTAGTCATTTGAGCATAACTCATCCTGCAGAAATTCGAAATCCATTGCAAAATCATGCAGGACAACCTCGTATACTTTCTCCAGGTATCCGTCCAATTGTGGCGCAGGCAAATTTTCTTAATCGTCCAAGGTTGTCACTGTACACACCACAATCTGTGCCGGGATCAAGTGAACCACAGACAACAACAGTAGTTACTACCTCTGTGTCATCAAATCTTGTAGACGTGTCTACTACAACAGGTTCAAAGAGACCATCAGATTTAGCAGATTGGTTTGCAGATAAATTGAATCCTAAAGCATCTCAAGATACTGTAAATGATCCAATTACAAAACTAGAAGGCAGTACTATTATGAAGCCAAAAGAAGGAACCTTGAGGGAAGAACTTGAAAAATTGAGAAAAAACAAGCTTGAGGAAAAAGAAGACTCCAAAAAAAGAAAATCTAGATCTAAATCAAAAGAAAAATCACCACAGCTAAAATCTAAAAAGAAAAGAAATCAAAGCAGTGATAATAATAGTGACATATTTGAAGATTCAGAAAATGATTCAAAACGGAGCTTGTCTAGTTACTCTCCAAGCAGTAGAGGAAGCAGTAGAAAAAGATCTCCAGAATATAGACGTAGGTGGCCATATGATTCTCCAGATTTTAGAGGAAAATACAGTTATTCACCAAGAAGGAGAAGGTCTCGCACAAAATCCTATTCAAGGTCACATTCTAGGTCAAGATCACGTTCTAGGTCAAGGTCATACTATAGAAGATCAAAATCAAGATCAAGATCAGGCTCACAAAGCAAAACTGGAAATAAGGTACGGAAATCTCCAAGAAGAAGAAGTAATTCAACAGATGGAAAATCTAAGGATCTTGAAAAAGATGTAACAACTAATAAATCTACCGATGGAGTAATAAATAGATCTGATTCTGTTAGAGCAAAAAGGAGATCTAGTACGTCACCTGATCGCCCTAGGAGAAGGAGAACTCCAGAATCGTACAGATCAAGAAGATCAAGTAATTCTCCAGAAAGGTGGAGAAGAGGAAGGTCACCACTGAAGAGGTCAAGTAGTTCCCCTGATAGTAGACAAGGGAAACAATCTCCAGAATATAATAGATTTAGTAACAGAAAGAGAATCAGCAATTCACCAAGAAGAAGTGTTTCGCCTAGATGCAGAAGTATATCACCAAAAAGGAGAACATTTGAATCTAAGCGTAGAAGTATTTCACCTCAAGTCAAAAGTAAATCACCTAAGCGTAGAAGTATTTCACCCAAAGTCAGAAATAAATTGCCTAAGCATAGAAGTATTTCACCCAAAGTCAAAAGTAAATCACCTAAGCGTAAGAATATATCACCAAAACGTAAAAGCATTTCTCCACTAATTCAAAGAAATCCTTTGCAAAAACAAATTAATACTACCGAATTAAAATCATCAGGAAATACTGAGAAAGTATCTAACGAAAGGGAAATAGTGGTTGAGATACCTACAGATACTAATAATGAGGTTAACAAACCAAATGAAGCACTTTTAAAACCATTTTTAAGGGGTCCTTTAACACTGGCCAGTCAACATGTACAGTTATCAACAGAAGATAATAAATGGACCAAATCTAACTTTACAGAATACACTATTGATCAAATTACAGAAGAAGATCAGAAATTGCAAGAAGAACTTGAAAGCCTTGAGGAACAGAAGAAACTTCTAGAACAAGAAGATAAAAAAATGAAGGAAGAAATGATGAAAAAAGAAGATGCAAGAATTAGGAAGGAATTGATTGAATTAGAAAAACAGAAGAAAATAGCAGAAGAATTGCTTGAATTACAAAGGCAGAGAGAATTTGCAGAAGAATTAGTTGAATTAGAAAGGCAGAAAAAACTTGCAGAAGAATTAATAGAATTAGAAAAACAAAGAAAAATTGCAGAGGAACTTGTAGAATTAGAGAAGAAGAAAAAAACAGCTGAAGAAATTGAAGAACTAAATAAACGAAAGCAACAACTAGAAAAAGAAGTTGAGAAATCAATAATGGTAGATATATTGGCAGAGGAAAAGATGGATGTGTCAATTGATGATGACAAGATGATATCAGATGAGTTAGACGAGCTTGCTCAACAGAAAGAGAAGCTTCAAAAGGCATTAGCTGCCCTGGAAAATATAGACAAAGATTCTGATGTCTGTGAAATTGATTCATCAGGTTTGGAGGATGGAGAAATTGAGGATGACTCAGAAGATGAGGAAAAGAAAGATGAATCAAAACCTGGAGAGGATAAACACAATCCCATACGAATAAGCTCAGTAATAGATTTAACTGACAGAGCACCTTCAAGAGATAAAAGATCATTGTCAAAGGATTTGAAACGGTCTCCTTCAAGGGAGAGACGGGAATCTTCTACTGAAAGAAGATCATTAAGAGATTACAGAAGGTCTCCGCCTTATAAAAGAAGGTCATCTTCAATTGAAAGAAGACGATCACGTTCTAGGGAAAGGAAAAGAACAAGCTCAATTGGATCAGATTATTATGATGAGTTCAATGGACGGTCTTCAGATGATAAGCATAGACAATCCTTGGAACACTCTGACAAAATTAAAAGGCAACATGCCAAGGAGATTGGAAATGTATGGGGTGCTATGATTTCTCACAACGATACTAGGGTTGAACGCATCAAAGGTGATCCATTTTTCAAGAAGACGCCTGAATCTAAGGAAATAGAAGATGATACCACTATTGTGCCTAAGCCTAAATCCCTTGCTCAGAAGATCAGATGTAATGAACTCATTACAGCCTATGATTTGAATCAAGAGCACCAAAGGTCTGTCACCAAAACTAGGCAAGAATTAATTACCTTTGCTGATTGGTTAAAGATGGAATATGAAATAAGTGACGAGGAAATTGGTAAATACCAAAAATATATTACTTGTGTCCAATTAGATTCCAGAATTGATGAAAATAGTAAAAACAAAAGAAAAACACTGAAAAAAAGATTACGTGCAGAAATGGCGTCTGCACAGGAAACTTTAAAAATTGAGGAACAGGAGAAACAAAACCAACAAGGAATGGATAAACCTTCTCGTAATATTGTTGTTAGTGGTGTTAAAGAAAGACTTGAAAATGTAAAAGAGGGGGATAAACGTATCGTTTGTGACAGTGGAGTTCATCAGTTATCTGAAATTGAACATCTTCATCAGCCATTTGATATATCTCGTCAGCAACTTGTATCAGAACTTGAAATGGTTCGATCAGCATTAAAAATGTCATGGAAAACACCTAAAGGCAAAGTACCTGATGTCGTCAAAAATGAATCTCTTGGTTTTGGAGAAGGGGATTATGACCATGAGTTTTTGATGAGACATGATCTTCAGCAGTTAGAAGCAGAGATTTTAATGAGAATCAATCATTTTGAGTTTCATGGTGTACCAAACAGAAGAGTACCTGAAATTCTTCTTACTAAAAAAGAAAAGAGCTTGCATTTTTCAGAGGAGGGCCTATTTTTAGTAATGACAGCATCGATTTCTAACAAGGCATATCAAAATTTACTGTCTTTAAAGAAAAAGTTAGAACAAACAGAAGAAGCTGCATCAACAATGAATCCTGTTACCCATCATGAGCGAATTCTTAAACATTTACAAGAAATAGAAGTTTTACATCAGTCACGGAAGGCTGTCATGCTTACAATAGCAGGATACCTTACAAAGAAACGTTTTTCTAAACTATCAACAAGACTTAAATACTACAAAAGATGTATTCAGTACTTCAGTGACTTAAGAAAACCAGAACTAGTGTATTTAAAGACTACTGTTGCTGATGTTGAAGTTCATCTGAAGCTTGGTGAAAGACTTCTGGTAGGCTTTTTACTTTATATTCAAACAAAAATAGATTCAGGTTATGAAAAAAGAATACATTATAAAAGTTATCATCTCTGGCCAGTTTAAGAAATAATGCACTTTATACCCTAATCTATAGCTCGTTAAGAAATGGTTAAAGTAATTCATGTTATCTTTGCTTCTTCTGTTAACTTCATTACAATTTACTTGAATGCCTTGAACTAAGCAACTTCATACCATTTAGAAGAACCTTAGTTTAACTGATTTTTGTTCTTGATGAGGCCTTGAACAGGGGACCAGTGTTTGGTAAAATGCATTTAGAGCAAATCTGACAGGTGGCAAAACTGTTCATCAGATTTAGATTTATCTGCCCTGAAATTTTCAGACGAATCCGACAACCTGTTGTTGGGTTGCTGCCCCTGAGGTAGTAATTTTACAAAAATTTTGCAGTTTTTTGTTATTATCTTAGATATCATTATAATATCTAATATCTAATACTATTAATTATGATTTTAACCTTATTTTACATGATTTCCAAAGCATCAGTAAATACAGGTGAGTGACACAGGCTCTTGAGAGCCTCTAGTTTGTTATTATCTTAGATATCATTATAATATCTAATATCTAATACTATTAATTATGATTTTAACCTTATTTTACATGATTTCCAAAGCATCAGTAAATACAGGTGAGCGACACAGGCTCTTGAGAGCCTCTAGTTTATTGCTCCATTTGTGAATAAAAAGAGTTAAACATCCATATGGCATCAACCGAACAACACAAAAAAACAAAGACATATAAACTATATAAACATACATTTCAATTGATATTTTACAGTGTGTTTTTTTTATGTTGTAATGTTACACTACTGTCAGGTAAGGGTGAAGGTTGGCGCCTGTTGAAATGTTTAAACCCGCTGCATTTTTTATGCACCTGTCCAAAGTCAGGAGCCTGTTATTCAGTGGTTGTCGTTTGTTGGTGTTGTTCATAAGTGTTTCCTCTTTCTCATTTTTATACGCCCGCTTACGGGATGTATTATGGGATACCATTGTCCGTCGTCAACATGTCGGACAATAAATCAAAAATGGGATTTTAATCATAAAAAAAGGGGTGATTTTCAAGTTTTGGGACAATGACTCAAAAGTGCTTTAAGCAGTTTTCATGAAACTTTGGTGACTGGTTTATATCTATGAAAACAACCTTCCTTTAGTCTTTATGCCTCCGCTGAGGGGGCATTAAGTTTTACCCTTGTCCGTCTCTGTACATCCCAAAATTGGTTTCCGTTCTCTAACTAAAGTTTGCCTCAACCAAATGTTATGAAACTTATACACAATGCTTATTACCACATAATACAGATCAAGTTTGAATTTTGGTAGCGTCACTCTAACTGTTCTAGAGTTATGACCCTTTATAAATGAAAAAATTACAAAATTTTTAGTTTCCATTCTCTAACTTAAGTTTGCCTCTACCAAATGTTATGAAACTTATACACAATGCTTATTACCACAAAACACAGATCAAGTTTGAATTTTGGTGGGGTCACTTTAACCATTCTCTAGTTATGCCCCTTTATAAACGGGGGAAAAAAATGCAAAATTTTTTAGTTTCCATTCTGTAACAAGTTGCCTCAACCAAATGTTATGAAACTTATACACATTGCTCATTACCACAAAACACAGATCAAGTTGAATTTTGGTGGGGTCACTTTAACCATTATCGAGTTATGCCCCTTTATAAATTGAAAAATTGCAAAATGTTTAGTTTCCGTTCTGTAACTTAAGTTTTGCCCCAACCAAACATTATGAAACCTATACACGATACTTATTACCACAAAACTCAGATCTAGTACAAATTTGGGTAGCTTCACTTTTATTGTTTTTGAGTTATGTCCCTTTATAATGTTGTATGCAAGTGGGGGCATCATCTGTGTCCATGGGGACACATTTTCCATTTATTTATAAATTTCTGATATGACATTGAGGAGTTATTGACCTTTTATCTTTGAAAAAGCAACTGGCGTATCATGTGCTCTTTTCACAGCTGTTATATAGATTAGACCGTTGGTTTTCCTGTTTGAATTGTTTTACACTAGTCATATTGGGGCCCTTTATAGCTTGCTGTTCAGTGTGAGCCAAGGCTCAGTGTTGAAGGCTGTACTTTGACCTATAATTGTTAACTTTTTATACATTGTGACTTGGATGGGGAGGTGTCTCATTGGCACTCATACCACATCTTCTTATTCATATATATAGTCTTCAGCAATAGACAAGAGTCTACTCAGTATGTCAAGTTCAAATGGCATGGCATGAGTTTAGAAAACTTGTAAGATTAAACAGAGACTATAAAAGATATGTGGTCAACACCAATTTCCTAAAGAACAACAAACATTAAGAAGAAGTGACTTAAAAAATACTGATGAGCTTTTTTATTGGACAGAAACATGAAAACTTCTTCATGCATGGTTGAGCTGGGGGAATAAAGGGGGTATTTGGGAATCAGTCTGTCTGTTCATCTTTCTGATCAAACTAAGTTTTGTCCAATTTAAACAAAACTTTGTGCATTTACAGATAATCATGTGACAACTTTGAAGCAAAACATTGGGTATTTTCCTCAATTATGCCCTAGAAAATTTTAGATACTATTAAGTATTCAGTTTGTAGATGTAACTCCTTATACATGCTTCATCATAAATTTTTCAAGAACCTTGATACATTTTAAGATCCTTAAATGAAAATGCCAATACTAGTAGAACATCTTGATCCTTGAACAAATCCCAGCATTATGCCCCTTTGAATTTAGAAATTTTTTATGCTATTCAGCCTGCAATTTGTGGACAATTGTTAACACTCTTCTTTACATATTTCCACCAGATGTTCATGAAACTACCTTTTTCAATCAACAATATATGCATATAAGTAGAGATTCCAGGTCTGTTTACAAATTCAATTGTTGTGCCCCTTTAACTTAAAATGGTGATATGATATTCAATTGCAATAAGAAATGTTTGTTTTTCAGCAAGAGCAAGAAGGTGGAAAACCAAAATCATTACCTCTTCGTTTTATATCATTACCCACACAATCCACAGTTTCTGGCCAAGTATCAGGTGCATTGTCTGCTGGGCAGACCAATATAACACAAAGAACAACAATAAATATACCAGCCAACACAATTCATGTCAATCGGAATGTGGAGCTTAAAGCATCAGAAACACCTAGAAATATACCCTCACATACTACCAGCCAGACTACTCAGAGGTAATTATATTTATAGAAAAACTATAAAAAGTATAATATAAACTTCTTGTCAACCTTTTATTGCTGTAGTAATTTTATTTCAAATTTACTGGATTGATTGATTGTTACTTGTTGAATGTACAGTAGCCCATATTTCATGCATATTTAGGACAAGTTTACTGGAAAGTACATAGATACCTATGTGATTTAATACTACTGTATTGCTGCTTTCTTTAAAAACACTCTTCAAATTATTTCAAAGTTAAACCTTGACCACATAAAGCTGTCCTATTTTTAAGTCAATAAAAATATATGGATATAAAAATATGAAGATGTGGTATAATTGCCAATGAGTCAACTCGCCACCAGAGACCAAATGACATAGAAGTTAACAACTATAGGTCACTGTACGGTCTTCAATAATGAGCAAAACCCATAACCCATAGTCAGCTATAAAAAGTCCCAAAATGACAAATGTAAAACAATTCAAAAGAGAAAACTAATGGCCTAATTTATGTAGCCTTGTTTCATATTCTCTAATTAGTTTTACATTTGATTGAATATGTACCCATGTGATGATGCATTAATACTTCTTGGTCTAACTTGCTTGGAATGTGTTTACCTACTTCCCTCGGTCATATTTAATGTTTCCCTCTGTCATCCTTTTAACTCACTTGACATGAAGTTTAATTCAAACAGTGACAAAGGATCTGAAAGAACTTGCCTAAGTGATTGATTGATTGATTGATTGGTATCTTAACGCCACTTTCAGCACTATTTGTTATTTTGTTGTGGTTAGTTTAAATTGGTGAACCAAGACCTTCGGCAGGAAAACTAATAATCCTTGTCAATTCAGATTGGAGTCAAGCACACCTGCCACGTGTAGGGTTCTAACTCACAACCTCAGTGTTGACAGGCTAGTGATACAGTAGTTGAACTACTTACATGACTCAGACCACTCGGCCACAGAGGCCCCACTTACCTAAGTGATTCTTGACTGAAGAAATCTTTGTATCTGTCAAGAGCTTAAATAATACAGAATGGAAATTTATACTGAATTTTTTTAGGAAAATATTTCATCTATTAAAAAAAGTAAATTCTATTGTTGTGATATTTTTATGAAATGAAAAGTTCCGTGGGCATGCTTACTTGAGTGTGAGTCCAAAATACATTAAGGCAAGCCATTTGCTTGTGACTAGGATTTTAAGCCCCAGTAGAGACAAAGTTTGTACAGTAGTGTAGCTTCAATTGACCAATCAGGTTAGAAGTTTTAGCATCATTATCCTGGGTATAAATCATAGGAATGGGTTTCTAAAAATAGGACCAAAACAGGCCCAACAAATGTTTTCACTAGTTTTATGCATCAGTCTTTTTTTAAATTGCCCTTTGAAATTGAAGTCACTTTCAATGAAATGTCAGAATGAAGAAAGGTTTGTATGATCACTACCATAATGGTAAGTCCTGTACACTACTACTGACCACACTTTAGAGAGTATGGGAGTTAATCACCAACTTGCCTGATTTATGAACAAAAAATAAACGAAAAAACAAATATGATATGCAGAAACAAATGACAACGACTGAATTACAGGCTCCTGACTTTGGACAGGCACATACAGATATGTGGTGGGGTTAAACATGTTTGCTGGCACTAAACCCTCCCCTAAAGCGTTTCTCCATGTACAATACTAACAAAAAATTAGAATTTTTATCAGCCTCTAGCTTGAAAACAAGCACTGTGACCTATACTTTTTGTATTATTTTTCATTTAAAAAAGTTTGATGTCTACCACATATATAAACATGTTATATGAGATGTTTTGAAATATTTGTATGGTTTTTAAATAGGATTCCAGTAACTTCTACTCAGACTTTACCAACGACAGTTCATTCTGGATTATCTTCAGGAAATTTACGACAGGTTCCTTTAGCTACCACAAAACAAAAACAAACAAATAAAGAATCCTCAATAACTGTACAACAGATTCCAATTCCAACTTTTAAACAAACAAATCAAGAGTCCAAACTTGTGGATCCTAGATTTAAAAGGCAAAATTCAAATGAAAAAGTCAGTGATCTGCCAAACCCTAGATTTCAAAGACAGAACTCAAATGAATATGTAAATAGTCCAAGAACTGTTGATCAGTCAGCTAAAGTAGCTGAAGAATTACCACAGTTGTCAAGAGGACAGAACACTCAAGACAATTCTGAAACGGGCAGGAATGTGCAATATAATCCTAGATATGGATCAGTCGAAAAAGGAGATCCTAAAGGAGAATCTGCTGCCATATCATCACCATATACTTTACCTCCTGCCAGATACTTACAACAACCAGTACAGAAACCCCCTACGTGGGGCCCTAGAGATACAAATCAAACAAGGTCACAAAATGATAAAAAATTAGAATCAGACTTAATGACTGTCAGAGATAAACTTGTACGTCTGTCACAACAGTTAAACCATGATCAGAGTGTTCGTATGAGTGTACAGTCAGTTTTACTGTCTGTGACAGAAGCCCTAGATCTTCTGAGAGAGGAGTCCAGTAATCTGCCTAAAGTTAAAGACATCATTTTGGAATGTTTAGCAAGATATAACGCTGTCAAAGAATTAATGGGTAAGTAAGGGCAACATATATTTGACACATTACTAATTTATTTAAGAAATTTGCTTAATTGATCACTCGTCCAAAACTGTTTGGGATCTTTTAAAGCAGCTTGATTTCTTTCACAAATTTACTGCAAAGAGTTACTGGTATATCAATTATTGATAAATTTTTGGTTTATAACTTTTTAATTGATTGAATACTTACTTACAGTTTGCTGCCAAAAAACTGGGTTGTCTTATTATGAAAAATACTTATGAAGTTTTGAACAATAATGAGATGCCAAGAAGTACTGAAAAAAGACGTTTTGATTGAGTGAAATTGGTTATACATTTAAAACACACACACAATTGTAAACATAGATAACTCTTCACAAAGGTGCAGAACTATTTTCATCATATATTTTAGCTGTCAAACTCGATATAATCCAGGATGAAATCATTTTACTAAGTAATATTGCACAACAGGAATATTATTTTCATTTTCAAAAAAGAATCACATATTGCTTTTAAGTGAAATTGAATGAAGAATATATAGTTAAAGGGACTTCAGTACTACAAGTTTAACCATTTTCAATTAGGACTGTCTGATTGCATTTATTGTAAACAAAACCTACCAGTATCGAAATAAATCTAATTAAATTTAGCTAAGAATCTTGAATAAAATAGTTTTATTGTTTAATTCTGTTTTGTTTTTAGGTTTAAGCCAGTCTGTATTTTACACAGATTCCTAGCCTATCGTCTGTCTTTTTAAAGAATGAATATTCATATCAAATGTTTTCATCACATTTTATTAGCAATACCAGTATAAAAAGCCATATATTTTTTTAATTCATTCACACTAAAAACTACAATTTTATTTTTTTACCAAACACAAAAAAAAATACACAAATACATTTTCAAAATATACAGAAATAAGAATTAATGAATTGTTTATTACAGTGCAACCTGTATATATACAATAAATACATATTAGTACAATATTACATTACAGCCAGCCAAATAGGCTTGCAATGCACTGTGATATATCTAAAAAATATACATTAAATAATGTCTTATCCTGGATTGAAAAAAAAGTTGTGTCTTAATCTCTAAAACCTCTGAAAACATGAAAAATGAAAGATAAAATTTCTCCCATGCTGAATTTTATTAATAAGATTTTTGTCTCGCTAGTTGAAAGTCGCTTCAGTGAGGTATCGTCAACAATTGTTAAGTTTTCTGCTTAAGTTAGTTTGATAGAAACTACTTGTGATAGATCATTGATATTTAATATAAAATTGCATTACTATCAGTACATATCAGTTTGACCACTTTTTTTTAGGCCCTGCCCCCTAGGACATGGTCCAGTGACTTTGAATTAATAAGCAATTTTCAATGTTAAGTGTTCTGCTTAAGTTAGTTTGATGGGATCTATTTGTGATAGATCAATGATATTTGGTATGAAGTCGCATTACTACTATCAGTACATATCAGTTTTGAGGCCCTGTCCCCTAGGTCATTGTCCAGTGACTTTGAATGAATTAGCCATTTTCAATGTTAAGTTTTCTGCTTAAGTTAGTGTGATAGATCAATTAGATATTGTATAAAGTTGCATTACTATCAGTACATATCAGTTTGACGAATATTTTGAGGCCCTGCCTTCTAGAAAATGTTCCAGTGACTTTGAATTAATAAGCAATGTTGCTGTTCATCAAATTGTCTTTTTCTGAATTTTATGCCTACAGGCGAGACATATCTCTGTGTCAACAGTTTATTTATCTAAATTCCTGTTTCCCTGTTTGTGTTACATTCAATTCATTCTTTAAGCAAACTTTTAATTGTCATACATTCAAAAACAAATCTTCAAATGTTATATAAATGTTGCTTCACTTTTGATACAGATTAGAATTGTAATGTATTTACTGGACCATTTAATGGAGTAGATTGAATTTAAGATCGCATATTGTTTAAAGTGATCAGTATAGATAATCATTAACAATTTTTTTGTTTTTTATTCTTACAGAAGGTTGAAGAAGTTTGAAAGGCTGATGTAGAGAAAGAGAAAACATGCTGGCATTGTTGTGTTACATTGTGTCATTTGTATAGATTTTTTTTTAGATGTGCAGTATTTTGAAAAATGTTAAGTGAATGTTATTGTCTGTATTCAGTTTTACACAAATCTGCATAAAAGACGTGGAATTATGAAATCCAGAAGGCATAAAGAGTTTATGAGAGTTCGAAATTATTGTGATATTTTTGTGTTCATTTCGCTTTCAGTCAAGTGTTTATGTGAGAAAAGTGATGTATTATGTAAGATAGGTTTTTTAATAATTTCAGTAAGTATTGATGTAAGAAGTAAATTTATAATTTGAAGCATCGTTTATTGCATGATGATACCTCTATATCATACACAATAAACTTGCATCTTACTGAGTGAAATGACATCACAATTGGTTGTACATTTTTATAATGGTGCTTTTTACTTTGTTGTATTTTACATAAATCATTAGTGCTTATTGTTTGTGGTATATTGCATATTTTGCATATTTTTCATTACTTTCATTTGAATTATCAGTCCCTTCATAACATCATATTTGAACAGTAATTAAAAATTTTAAGAATTTCCCTGCTGTGAATGTATATAACTGTTGTCATTAACAATGTAAGGGATGTTCTTGAATGCTCAGAGATTTGTGGTGAACATCAATTAGACATCAATCCAACAACTATATTTACAAAAAAAGACATTTGAAGGTCACCATACATCTAACCACACCAGACAAGCATCCATATCATATTTAAAACTTTTAGTTAATATTTAATATTCAAAAGGGCCACAAAAATATGTAAACATTCAAATTTTTCACAGACATTTGAAATGTAATGGAATATGATATCTTGATTAAATTCTTGGGTCTAAAAATTCATCCATTGGTACCCATTTATGAACTATCTGTTGGATTTCATTTCCCAAATGGCATGGTTTTACAAGTTTATATAATACATTAAGATTCAATGAAAAACTTGTTCATTAGGCACCAACTTTTCATTTTTCGCTGGTAACACTTTCAATTGATACCCTAGGAACCATGTACTGCTTTGTTTGATTCAGTTTTAATTTTTTTTATCTGTGCCTAGCATAAAATTGTGAAAGCAGGGTCCTTGCTAAATTGTAAGTTTTTACATTCATAAAATTGTTAACTTTGAATAAGCTTCTGTGCTATATACAAACTTTTGATCAATACCTTGACTTTCTGCATTTTTCTGTAATCATACAGATAGTTTATTACTATTAGGTCATATAGTTTGTTATAAGTAATGCAAACAAGTACAAACTTGGTAAAATTTTATACATATATATTTTTTTTTCTGGAACTACAAATCTAAAACTGAATTGGTTTGTGAGCTTGTCATACCTTGTGATGCATTTTAGCAATCATGGCTCATCACCTTTTGTTAACTAAATACTTATGAGAGTATTAGTTAGCTCACAGTTCATCTTTGATTTTTAGTTTGAGTGTAAAATGGGTAAGTTAAGTAAGTTAAATGTACCAAAAAGATTCAAACAATACTGCTTTTAAGAAGCATAGATTCTACCATTGAATATTTTTATGCCCCTGCCATCCTACCGTCCGTCCAATATTTGTTTCTGCACTCTAACTTAAGTTTGTCTCATGCAAATTTTATGAAACTCATACACGATGATAAGAACCAAAACTTGCAGAGATTGAATTTGGGAAGGGAGTCACTTACCATACTAAAGTTATGTCCCTTTTTAACTTGGAAAATTGCAAAGCTTGAACAGGGGCATTCGTGTCCTCAGACACATTCTTCTTTTATTTTTAATGAAACATTTATCATTTTTACAATTTGTAAAACAAAGAAAAATAAAACTAGCATCATAATATAAGAAATTGAAGAAATGAGACTTGCAAACTAATGTTAATTATCAAAGCAATAAACTGAACAGTACCGAAGGGAAACGTTTAAATTTGCTAGCAATCACTCATACTATTTTTTGTATGATTAGTTTATTAAACTAATTGAAGAGTCAAAATTGACTTCTATCGAAGGTTTGTTCTTAAATTTACAAAAATTGCTTGCTGTATATAAATTATTTGATCTTTAAATGATTTAAAGGTTAAAGCAATATTAATCAGCATGTGATGATGTTGTATAAGAAATTCTCTTTTTGTTAATGAGTGTCTGCAAAAATGAAATGTTAATTAGAAATAATTTTGAAAACGGCTGAAATTAAATGGGAGAATGACTGTAAGTGTATTTTTTCCATTTTTAATGAAAAGACAATCATAAACTGACTTTTACTTGAAAAATGTTACTATAGAGATAGAAAACATTAAAATTATTAATTTTTAACATTGTATCTCTTACTGATACTAGTAGAGACAACTCACGTTTTATCACATTTGAATCATCTCATTGAATTACATAATTGTTTGTTATTTTTAAGCATATATATTGTTATTTTAAGCTGTTTGTTGTAAAATTCTTATAAAGAATACAGCCAGTATAATGCATTTTTGAATTTCTTACTATAGGCATGGTGATTTATCCATTTGAAGGTATTAGAAATATCACATGTAACAGGAGTTTATGTCCTACCTGCATCAAGTATGTTGTTTTGCAGTCTGCAGCTTTCTGTCAGTCCAACACATTCGCCTTCTCTTGGTTAAGTTTTCAAGTCTCAGGTTTAAGGAAGTGTTATAAGAAGCAGATGGGATATAACATTTAATTTCTTAAATTGAAGATAGAATATGTCTAACTATGAACTTTCCTAAATAAGGTCAAAACAAAGAACAAAGAAACAGTCTACAAAACACTACATACCAATTTCTGGTGATATGACATAAACAACGAAAGTATATGCTTTTTTGTCGAGCCTGCGACATTGTATCTCTTACTGATACTAGTAGAGACAACTCACGTTTTATCACATTTGAATCATCTCATTGAATTACATAATTGTTTGTTATTTTTAAGCATATATATTGTTATTTTAAGCTGTTTGTTGTAAAATTCTTATAAAGAATACAGCCAGTATAATGCATTTTTGAATTTCTTACTATAGGCATGGTGATTTATCCATTTGAAGGTATTAGAAATATCACATGTAACAGGAGTTTATGTCCTACCTGCATCAAGTATGTTGTTTTGCAGTCTGCAGCTTTCTGTCAGTCCAACACATTCGCCTTCTCTTGGTTAAGTTTTCAAGTCTCAGGTTTAAGGAAGTGTTATAAGAAGCAGATGGGATATAACATTTAATTTCTTAAATTGAAGATAGAATATGTCTAACTATGAACTTTCCTAAATAAGGTCAAAACAAAGAACAAAGAAACAGTCTACAAAACACTACATACCAATTTCTGGTGATATGACATAAACAACGAAAGTATATGCTTTTTTGTCGAGCCTGCGACTTTTGTCGCAGAAAGCTTGGCATAGGGATAGTGATCCGGCAGGGGCGTTAGCTAACTTCTTAAAAGCTTTATATTTTCCAAGGTGGAAGACCTGGATGCTTCATACTTTGTATATAGATGCCTTATGTTATGAAGTTTCCGACTGTCATATGTCCATTGTCCTTGACCTAATTTTCATGGTTCAGTGACTACTTGAAAAAAAAGGGAAGATTTTTTGTAATGTTCATTTTTCTCTTATTATGAGTAATAGGATAACTACATTTAATATGTGCGTACCTTGCAAGGTCCTCATGCCCGTCAGACAGTTTTCATCTGACCTCATCTTCGTGGTCAAGTCCATATATCAGATACTATAAGCAATAGGTCTTCTATATTTGGTGTATGGAATGATTGTAAGGTGTACATGTCAACTGGCAGGTGTCATCTGACCTTGACCTCATTTTCATGGTTCAGTGGTTAAAGTTAAGTTTTTGTGTTTTGGCCTTTTTTCTAAAACTATATTTGGTGTATGGAAATATTTATCAATATGTACATGTCAGTCTGGCAGGTTTTATTTGACCTTGACCTCATTTTCATGGTTCAATTTGTTTCTTTGATACTATTAGCAATAGGTCAACTATATTTAATGCAAAGATTGATTGTAAGGTGTACATGTCTGTCTGAAATGGTTCATCTGACCTTGACCTTATTTTCATGGTTCATTTGTCAATGTTTAGTTTTCCTGTTTGTCTGTTTCTTAGAAACTATAGGCAATAGGTCATTTGGTATATTGAATGATTGTAAGGTGTACATGTATTTCTGGTTTGGTTTATCTGACCTTGACCTCATTTTCTTGGATCATGTTAAGTTTATGTGATACTTTTAGTAAAGCTTTATATTTAGGACTATCAATATAAAATCAATGGTCAGTAAAGAAGGCGAGACATTTCAGCATGTGCACTCTTCTTGTCAAATGTCACAAAATCCCAGACATATAAATAAAATTCTTGTGGCAGTGATGAAGTTAATTAGTTGTATAAAGCTTAGAATTTCATTAGGTATGTTGTGTTATGTTCAAAAATCTACCTCTGGGATATGGCTGTTGTCAGTCAACTCCTTTTCATGGTTTAGTAACTGCTTCAAACCTTCAAAGTTTTTTATTGCATGATTATTTTGCTGAGTTGCCACAAGTCAAGATCTGTTTATGATATGATGAATACCTTCAGGACATCAACATATTATACAGACAAAATCTTTCAAGGCCATAATGAATATCTTTACCAGACTTGGTCTGATAATGCTGATAGGAAGAGGGAGATCCTACTGATTTTGGGGTCAATAGGTCAATGTCACAGCAGCAATATTTAGACAGAAATATTTGCAAAATTTTGGTTTTCTGATTTTATCTTGCACCATGTTTCAAATTTTTCACTTGGTTTGGTATGGCTTTATAGGGTGAGGCAACCCCTTGTTGATTTTGTTATAGGAGCCAAAGGTCAAGATCACAGCAGATGTTATAAGATTAAATTTTGGCAAATTAATGGTTTCCAGATTGCGTCTTTTGTATCCTTTGCCCAACTTTTACCATACTTTGTGGGATTATGCCCCATGGTTTGAGGAAATCCCTATTGAATTTTTGGTCAAAAGGTCAAGGTCACAGCAGCTATTGAAAGATCATTGACAAAGTTTTGGTTTCCTTCCAGACAAAATGTTTCACACTTCAAGGAATATCTTTACTACACTTAGTTTGATAACTGCTCATTGGAGGAAGACACCTATGATGTGGGGATCTATTGACTTAAGGTCAAGATCACATTAGCTATTGATAGACTGAAGTTTCTAGATGATAATGTTTGGGCTACATGTTCAACTTTTACCAAACTTAATTTGATAGAGATTGAAAAGACCTCTATTGACGTTGGGGTGAAAAGACCAGGTGAACAGATATGGATAGATTTGAATTTGGAAAAAAATTTGATTTCTGAATCTTATCTTTTAACCTGTGCACAATTTTTACCAAACTATGTTTGTAAATGCCTCATGGGTAGAAGAAAAATTTCTTTTGGGTTAATATGTAAAGGGTCTAGGTCATAGCAGTTATTGATAGAATGAAATTTAGGTGAAATATTGTTTATTCTTGTTATCGTGTGAACATAATAAAGAAATACATCCAACATTTACCAAATTTGATTTGGTAATGCCCCATGAGATAACAAACATCCCTATTGATTTTTGGGGTTAATATTGCTTTCATGCAATTTAAACCCTTATGTGGCTGGCTTGATTGTTGTCATATTTCCAGACTTTCATCATTACTTTAAAGATAAATAAAACATAATGCATTGAGCACAACATTCTATACATTCTATCCATAAATATTTCAAAAAAATTGTTTAATGAAACGTGTACACAGATATTCAAGCTACAAAATAAGGTATCTAATCTAAAAAATATCAATGATGTCATTGTAAAAGTAATACTTAGATTTAGAGTTATCTTTCTTTGTCCATAATAGTTGAACCAATACATTAAAGTGCCTTCCAATGCCTAATTCAATGCACTGTCTCACTTCAAAATGAAAGCAATCTTTAAGTCAAAGTCACAGTACCTTTAAAATTACTGAACATAAGGCAAAAGTTTGTTTTGGGAAAGTATCTTTTAAGCTATAAGACAGAGCTTTACCCATCTATGGCAGATAATACGCCTTGGGGTGAAAAAAAACAAAATCAATTGATTTTACGTCGCAGACTTGTAGATCATGATTCAGCTGCAATTTGGATTTCCCACAATTTGAATTAAATTGTCGGCTATCTTCATTGTACTCGACACAAAAATCTGTTTCTTCTACTAGAAATAAAAGTTCGCAACTTGGCTTCTGCATCGCACACATTGTGCTGCTTTATTTTTTTAACAACTATATTTGGTATATAGACAACTTGCAAAATATATATCTTCGTTAGACAGGGTTTACCTGACCTTAACCTCATTTCATTGATCAGTGTGATCAACTTTAATTTTATTTAATAATAAATTACGTCCGTTTCTCAAATCCCAAAGAAATAGGTCAACTATATCTGAGACTACTATAACATATAGTAGTCTCAGACTATATTTAGTGCATACCTCCGGTTTTTTTTTTTTTATTTTTCCTATACCCCTATTTATATAATCATGATATTACGTAATGGAAAGAAATTTAAAAACAACCCTACTTGTAGGATATCCACGTGCTTCAAAAATCGTATTTCTAATATAAATTCTATAGCAGCCTATCAAAATCATCATACAACATTTAGCACTGTGTACAATTGTGTCAAAGTAGGCAATGCCTCTGCAGCAAGATTGTTAAACAAAAATGCACGTGGATATCCACAAATTTTCCTGTGCAATGCCAGAAAATAACTTACCTGTTTCAGATTAACTTTACACAATACTGTTAGGTCAACAGTGAACGGGAGAGCTTTTTCGCTCTCCTTTTCCTGTGACATTACCTGAAAAACCAAAAACCTTATTTATGTGGTAACCTGAACCCAGAAGTGTGGAATTCAATATGTGGGACAGACGGGACGAGAATATTACAGAAGAAATCAAGAGCACCTTTTCCGCTTTCGAAGACCTAAAAAATTCAAAAGTTTGATATACTGATTGATATACAAACATTTAGATTAGCATAATCACAATCTAAAATTTATAAAATTCCAACCACTTGAAACCGTTCAGAAACAACCAGGACAATCACACAAGCAATTTGAAAAATCCCGTGAAGTTCGCGAACTATTTTGGATAAAAAGACTTCAAACATCTTATCCTATCGGTCTCAATGACAAAATATTGGGACAGGGGAACATATCTAAAACTTCTATCGATGTCATTAATATTGTCGATAAACGGCTAAGAAATAATAGGTCTCATGGGAAACGTAATCTACGTATTAAACATCGTATAAATTATACACTTGCTGATCTGTTATCTATAATTTAAAAATAACGATTGACATCAATTATTATGCAAACTTGGTCATATACCAATAAGTAAATTATATGATATTTTTCTGGGGTGTGATAAAATTTCATTTTTTAGCCCGTTGTATGAATACACCCGTATTATTACAGCCTTTTGTC